ACAGTAGGGCTACGATGGCTATCCGAGTACAGAACCAGAGTTCGAAACCTATCCAACTGCAGAGAGGTGTAAGACAGGGTGACGTTATATCCCCGAAACTCTTCACCGCTGCATTGGAGGACGTTTTCAAGCTACTGGACTGGAAAGGATACGGTATTAACATCAATGGCGAGTACATCACTCACCTTCGATTTGCCGACGATATAGTCCTTATGGCAGAATCGCTGGAGGACTTAAGCACTGTGCTCAATGACCTCAATAGTGCCTCCCAACGGATAGGTCTTAAGATGAACATGGACAAAACAAAGATCATGTTTAATGTACATGTCACACCTATGCCGGTAGTTGTTGGGAGCACTATGCTCGAAGTTGTTGACAAGTACGTTTACCTGGGACAAATAGTCCGACTAGGTAAGTCCAACTTCGACCGAGAGGTCAATTGACGGATTCAACTCGGCTGGGCAGCGTTCGGGAAATTACGACATATCTTCTCGTCAAGTATATCTCAATCTCTTAAAACTAGATTGTACAACCAGTGCGTGTTGCCAGTGATGACTTACGGATCTGAGACGTGGTCCTTCACTGCTGGCCGTATGAGGACGCTCAAGGTCGCTCAGCGAGCTATGGAGAGGGCTATGCTCGGAGTTTCTCTGCGTGATAGACTCAGAAATGAGGATATCCGCAGTAAAACCAGAGTGACCGACATAGCCCAACGGATTAGTAAGCTGAAGTGGCAATGGGCCGGCCATATAGCTCGAAACTAACCGATGGGGAAGAAAGGTTCTCGAGTGGCAGCCTCGTACCGGTAGGCGTAGTGTAGGACGACCCCCCACTAGATGGAGTGACGACCTGGTAAGATATGCAGGAAGTCGATGAATGCAGGTGGCTCAGGACCGTGCTTTGTGGCATAACTTGGGGGAGGCCTATGTTCAGCAGTGGACTTGTGAAGGGCTGTGATGATGATGATGATGATGTTTAAAAAAATACTGTTCGCTCCATTTAGTTTGTCACTTGATTATTATTACGAAAATGTGCTAAGTAATAAAATATCTTATCGTGTATTATCGTGAAACACAATAGACTACAGATTTAACTACTTTGGATAATTTAGCTGTTAAAGTAAAGGTTTTTTCATTACTGCCAATTATTACCATATGTTTATGTTATTATCAGCCTCCCTCTTCTTAAAACAATATACGTCATAATTTTTTCACTTTTCTATGTAAAACCATTTTATAATTAAAAACTTTTGTGCGCGATTGTATTTTTGTTTATAGGAGAGGGGGCAAACAATACGGCTCACTTGATGGTAAGTGATCACTGCCGCCCATTCACAACTACAACACCAGGGGAATCGCAGAAGCGATGCTGGCCTTTTAAAAAGGAGTAGGCTCTTTTCTTAATGGTATCTAAGTCGAATTTTGAGAACGATCATATAAAACGTGTAACGTGGATACAGCGCGGAAAGTCGACTGACGAACCAATAGCGCACCGGCAAGCATGCGCTCGCGCTGCACCTAATACCACCAAATAAACGGATAAATCGCCTAATGCGCAGCTTGACCGCCAGCGTTCTTTTTACATAACGCGACCTATATTTACTTACCACCACTCGGCACTTTAAAATTGAGACTTATTTTTATCTGATCTGTACAGTTCTTCAGTTTTTCATTAAATGAAATTTAGATTAAGAGCTTTAATTTTCCAAAACAAATCTTTGAAACATATTACTAAAATAATTTTTTTATTTATCGATATTGCACTGGTGCGTTAAAATGCAGCGACAAGACCACGGAGTATATAATTAACCTCTAACGACGAGCTAGTTACACATCTTAAATTAATAACGCTTTCTTGAAAAGCCTTTTGTTTTGAAGGTTTATAATGCATCCGAGCATCGTCTTCGTCGTCGTATACAATCTTTTTAGAACCTAACAGTAAAGTTTTGATCGAATGTTTTTTTTTATAATATAAGGGTGACAAACGAGCACACAGTCCATCTGATGGTAGGTAGATGCTGTGGCCCATTGACATCTACATCTGTCTTCGATTAGAATAAAATGGAGATGCATTGACACTCCTGAGGACTATGATGGAATGCCTTGTTACCAGTAAAAAGGGTCTATGTAAACTTTTTTAAATATTGAATAATTAAAACAGAAATGGAAATCGGAGCTCATATTTTATTAATCTTAATAAACTAAAAGGTTCTTTAATTTTAGGCATTTATGTCTATGTTCCAAATTTTAACACAAGAAGCATGGGTGGAAGTAATGGACGAGACAATGGTACGCACGAGTCAAACATTGACTCCACTGGTCGCCATATATTTTATTTTGTATCATTTGTTTGTCACGCTGGTAAGAAATATTTTGTTATTATAATCTTATAATTACATCTTGTACAGTTTAGAGAAAACCTAATAAAAATTTCAGATAGTGTTATCACTTTTCGTCGCAGTAATTTTGGACAATCTGGAATTAGATGAAGATATAAAAAAGTTAAAGCAGCTTCGGTACCGCCAGCAAAGTGCAGAAATCAAGGAAAGTTTGCCGTTCAGGTTAAGAATTTTTGAAAAATTCCCAGATAGCCCTCAAATGACGAAGTTACACAAAGTTCCTGGGGATTTTAATTTGCCAAAGGTAAAAAATATGCACGTAAAAATACCTTGTTACTTTGTTGTACGATATTTTCTTGCAACTTTTCGATAAGACTAATGTGAAGGTTTCCTTTCTTCTACGCTGCATACATATTTGTCCACCACAAAATAAGCTATTATGAACTAAGACTTTTAATATGATAATGTAATTAAAAGGTGTTACGAAGAATTATGCTATTACTTTTGAATCCTTGTCAATTCAATAAGACAAGCTAGTTTTTAGAACATGGAAACTTATTTAAAATCCATGAAAAAGTTTTAATCTTTACTTATTATTATCATACTGTTTATGCAAGTAGGAACTAATATATTGATGTTATTTCTCTAGGTACGCGAATCGTTTATGCGTCAGTTTGTATGTGAAGTGGAAGGAGAGGAAGAAACGGGAGTGACCGGTGCTGCAGTTGGAGGGGTGCGCTCTGGCGATCTATCACGGAGGGCGATAGAGTACATCGGTGTAGATAAGATAGCTTTTCCTTATCGGAAACGATGTCTTGTAAAAACACTAGTGGTTGCTCCACCGTCACAACGCCCTAGTTCTGCATTACGTCGTCATGTGGTTGCTTCTATCATAAAGTAAGTTTTGAAGTGTGAGTGTGATGTACTTAAACTTTGCATAAAATACCTCACAGTTGCAATTTCTCATGTGTCGTGGAGGCGTTTCACAATCATAAATGACATATAAAGAACCACATCCGGAATAGTTAAACAATTATTATTAAACGCATAATATGCAAACACTTGTCTCGTTTTTCGACGATGTTCGTGTTGTTAATGTTACCTAAGCGGCCTGTAGAGCTAGCTATATAGAACTTGAATTTCCACTCCTATCCTCGAATACTCAAACGCTGCTCAATGTTAAAATTCCTGTGCCGTCTCTATCACTTTTTTAAGTCAAAATGAGTGTGACATCACGAGACTTAAGGACATCTTAAAATTGAGTAATGTTTAAGACGACACGTCGAAAAAGTGGCTCCAGGCTATCGCCGTACTGATCGAGTGAATACATAATTTCTATAAAAACTTGAAAAAACGCCGTCATAATGTCTAAAATTGCATAGCGCCCGCGACGAATAAAACCGCTTAGAAATTGTGAGAATCTTAAAATATTTTTTAAAAATTATTGATTTAAGTAATCAAAATAATGAGCAAGTAAATTATGAATATTGATGTTATGAATATATTTGAATGATTCTCAAGCATATAGATAAAGTAATTTCGTTGTAATTTCAACTATAGTGATTTTTAGAGGTATTTTCGCAAATAATTATGATCGAGTCAAAATTATACAATCGTGTTTTTGAACAATCAAATTCAAGATGAAGACATGAATTTACCTATATTAAATTTCCACTTTCGTGAGTGGTGTCATAGTCCTATACTATTCGATGAAAGGAGGTGGATTTATTCGCGGTGTCGCCTGAAGTATTTGGCCATATATTTTGTAAGATCGAAAATTCAATAACATAAACATAAAATTTACGTCAACTATTAAGAGCTTCCTGTAATGAAAAATTCCTGAAAGATTTGTCTATAAGAATGTAGGTACTTTAATTAATAAAACTAATTTTTAATTTATTTTATTTTTGTAAAATGAAGTTGACAAACAAGTGCACAGTCCACCTGGTGGTAAGTGGATGCTGTGGCCCATACTGATACAGATATAGATGTCATCTGTCCTCGATTAGGAATCAAAATGCTGATGTGTTGTCCCCTGAGGACTAAGATGGAAAAATCAAAATAAAGTCACACTTACCATTTGAAAAAGCAGCATTAAACTTATTTCACACTGGTAGAATACGTATGTACGTAACGAGAGCGTGATCCTTCGCTAGTCGAGCCGCCGATCCATTCGTGCTATAACCTGCTGTAATATAGCTCCAGCATGGCTGCCTCTACCATGTATACAATAAACAAATTTTTAATATGCATATATATATATTTTTTTATAGTAGATAAAACTGCGTCAAGTCTCGCTGGAGCAGCTCGGCCGATTCTTCTACGCTTACTATTACTTTCTTAAATAATGAAAAATATTCAGTACCCAGTAATTTTATTTTTATATACTTCTCTTTATTTTACTTCGCTTTTTTTTAATAATTTACTTATTTTTATTTCATTTTTATATCACTTACTTTCAGATGGAAGAATTATGATTAACCTCATAAAGGTACTTATGTTTTAATTTTTCTTTATCTTTAATTTGCTTATTTTATCTTGGACTTCTACAAATATTTAACTAATTATGTTAAATCTGAAAAGTAAAGCATTTAATAAGTAACAAAATATATTTTTTAGTGATTCGAATAATCATCGACGCCTAGTGCTCGGAGATTCCGCTATGTTAGCGACAGGTGGAAAATCGGGGCTGAAGTCGCAGGGGACTATATCCAGCGCTAAACAATTACGAGTTGACCAGAAAAAGTATGTCATTGTTATTTATTTACTTATTTGGTAAGAAACACCACCAACATTTGTAACAACCACAACACAACATTGTCTGTCTTTATTTATTTCTATTCTTAACTATGGATACAACTATCGTTCTCATCAGTTCAGTAGGTAAAAATGCCTTAAACACAAATTAAACAGCGTTGAAAGTACCCTCTGCAGTGTTGACGCGCATGTTGAAAATGTTCTGTGCTTAGGCTGTCATGATCCGGAGATTTACCCGTGGTGAAAGATGTTATAATGCTCTGTACCTTTTTGCCGAGATGCTAATCGGTACATCACACATTTCACTCTCCTCCTCACACTCTCTTCCATCCAGTTGAAGTGGCAAGGTTTTCGACGTTTGTATTTACTCGGTAAACGTCTTTAAAGTGTGCACTATCAAGTGTTACAATTAGTGACTTTGCTATGTTTAACACAGTTGATTCAAATGATTCTTTTAATTCATAGTTACGTTTTGGTAAATTACGTATTTCAATTCTTGACGAATGAAAATATTGCTCTAAATGTTCTAATTTATTTTCTAAGGTCTCTAGGTGCTTGTGATTCGCATTCTTATCAGACTCCAGTGACTATATTAATCGTCGTATTTTTGTGACAAATATTTAACTGTAACTGCTCGTTTTCTAACAACATTTTATTATTCTGAAAATCGAGATAAAATCTTACGTAAGAAGAAGGAGGAGGTTAGAGAAATTTTATATATCCTTACATGGGTGTTGGGAGGTCAAAAATCATCATCATCAGAATCATCCTTACGTAATTAATGAATGACCACTAAGAAGCAACAGAAGGAAACTAATCAGGAGATGGGCAGCAGCGTCTTCCTAATAATAACAAAGAATAAGAAAACCTGCTGTTGGCAATCCGCTTGCCAAACGTGGCAACTATGGTAAAAACTCCCCCCCCCCTATGAGGCAACGTATAAGAAAGTCTGTTCAGCAGTGGACTTTAATAGGATGTAACGAAAAAAACAATAAAAATTAAAAATATAAATAAAAGCCCTAAAATTTGTAGCATAAGCAGTGAGGAGTTTAACCAAATGTCAATTGATGGGCCATTTGGCGTGTGGCAGAAGGATCTTTAAAATAATTTTTTGCAGGTTCGGTTCGCGTTCGATCCGTCGCTCGGTGCGCAGTGGCTCGCTAAAGCTGAAGCAGACGTACGAGCACTTGCTGGAGAACGGAGACATCGGCGCGGCCTCGCGCGTAGTGCCGTCGTCGCGCGCGCGCCCGCCTTATCTCGACATACGCCTGCTGCAAGCCAAGCGGCAGCAGGCTGAGATGAGAAGGTACCACATTATGTCATCGACAGACTGTTTCACAGCCGCATTTAGAAGGTGATATCTTCTTAAGACGAGTCTTAATTTTAAATTACACCAAATGAGATGGATATTAGTCTCTTTTGAATATTGGTTAATAAATAGTGTGCAAAATATAAAAATAGGTTTTATTTGTCTGGTTCGACAAATTATTTTTAAGTTCAGCTCTGTTTGTTGGCAAGTTAGCGCAGTAGCCAGATGTTCACTTTTTATTTTTAATCGAGCATATAGATGTAGGTGTCTATGAAATAAAGTTTCTCTTTCAGGTGGAAATAAGCAAATAGTCCACTCGATGTCCTCATCAGGTGTACTGTTTGCTTATTTGCCGCTGATCATAGTAGTAGAAAGTAAGCGAAGGCACATCAAACACCGACTACACCCACATCATATGGAATAAGCTCAAGTAGGATAAAGTATAGGGCGCATAAGCGATTGATTGATTAATCTATATTTTTCTTAGGTATCTCTGAAATTTATAATTTTAAGCTTTATTGCAGATTACGTTCAGTGCAAGACAGATGGGGCTAACAATCATTAAAACTTGTGTGTATATATATATATTGTGTGTATATACGATATATATGCTCCAAAACGATATTTTATACATTCAAGATATACAAACAAAATAGCAAGTTAAAAATTCTTAATGGTCTTTTTTGTGTACCTGAAAATATTCTCATTCAGTTTCGACTTATGAATATGTGGCCATAGAAGGAAAAGGGGAGATCTCCCGCTGGGCAAGGTGTTCTGCCCGGGGAGCGGCAACACTCCGCGTGATAGTTTGGAGCTGTTCTATATATATTGTTTATGATTCGGAACTTTGATAGCGCGATTTAGGCTTCTGTGTTTTTCACGTGTGGCGCGACGACAGCGCCGTCACATATATGTATTTGGCAAACCGGGCTTTTTGTCCTATTACAAAGATACGATTCTCGCTTAAATGACAAATGGATTAGACCAATGTCCAATAAGAACGAGTGCCTGGAACAGTAGAAATGTTGGACATGTTGCAACAACTTAGGAACCAGCGCGAGGAAGACCTGCGCGAGAACCACCCGCTGTTCGACACGCCGCTGCTGCTAGTGGCGCGCGAGTCGCGCTTCCGCAAGGTGTGCCGCGCCGTCGTGGACGCGCGCTACGACGCGCGCCTGCGCGACCCCGTCACCGGCAACGAGCGCAAGGTGCACTACAAGAGCTTCCAGTGAGCGCGCCTTCCTTCTTAACCGCTTCACCGTGCTAATTCCATCCAGCCATACATTACACCCTATAAAATCCACTGCTGAACATATGCCTTCCCCATAGATTGCCCCATAGGGGAGATTAAGCCATAGTTGGCACGATTGGCAGGTGGATAATAGAAATAATAATAAATTTTGAATACGTTTTTCTGTGTCTATACACAAAACAATGTCTCAGTGAAGAAGACAGATATCTCGAGAATACAGATTCTTTATTTTTTTCGAGAAGTTGGGGATGCCCTCCTTATATGTAGGTATAGGAATTAAAGTTTATAGGAGTTGTAATTGGACTGCAGTAGTCACTAATCGTAACGTTAGTCACTTTAATTATATAAAATATCTGATAATCATTTCAAAATTATATTAAAATGAATTACAAAATGTGTTGCCCTATAATAGCGGCATCAGAGAACCCGTCGCCTTATCTCTTCCCGCGAGTGTAAAGTCATAAGAGGCGACTTAAAAAAATGGACAGAAGATCTGGTGGTCTCTAATAGTGTTATAATCTCATATGTTTACCAGTAGTAAAGTATCCAGACTGGCCACCACTGAAAACAACGCAAAATTTTAAAATGTACCAGACATTGCGACGCCAGAAGAAGAAGTTATAGCAAAATAAAATTTAGAAAGTTCCATACCCAGTAAAGGACTGGGTGCTAAGTAACAAAAATATGCAGAACCTAAAACGCTTAGACTAGAAGTGGAGTAGCATTAGTTGATCCAGAATATGAGTTCTGCGCTCCGTAATGCAATAGTCAGCCTACCAAATATGGGTAAATCTATTGAAATCAAACACTTCGGTGTATACCATTAGACCGACAATTTAGGACATAAACATTGTCACAGCTGAGGCGCTTTACAAAACAAACAAACTAGGCTTCTCGCCCGTTCGCAGTTGACTAAAGGAGTTACGGAAATATTAGGACTGCAAAGCCCCTCTAGTAGTACGAGGGCGGCACTGAAAATTTCGGGAATCAAGGAAGTGACACAACATTACTATTTAAAAATGTATTTATTGCTTTTCGAAGTATTATCCGCGAAAATTGACACATTTTTCCATACGATGGAACCAATCATTAAAGCAACCATTCCAATCGGAAGTTGGGGTCTCCAAAATGGCCGTTTTTAGGTGTCCACAGCTTCTTCAGGTGATGAAAATCTCTGTCCACGCAATTTATTCTTTATTTTAGGGAAAGTATAGAAATCATTAGGGGTTAGGTCGGGACTGTGCGGCGGATGGTCTAATAATTCTATGTTTTCTTGCTTTAAAACTCTTTTGTTCTGTGTGCGGTGTGAGAACTCGCATTGTCGTGATGGCGGATGATGCGGCGGTTGCAGTTCTCTTTACGGAGTTCAGAAACGACTTGTGGCAAACAAATGCTAGCATACCATTCTGCATTAACCGTTCTTTGTCCCTCAAGAGGAATAGTCGTAACATGGCCGGTTTTGGAGACAAACGTGGCCACCATTTTTTTTGCAACACTCCGTGAACGAACAATTTTTGTTGGCTTTAACTCATTTTCGAACACCCAAACTCGTGGCTAGTTTTTTGTTTCGGGTTCGTACGCGTATATCCAGGATTCGTCACCTGATACGATGTTGTATACAACATTTGAGGATCCTGCGTGGAATCTTTCGAGAGTTCTGACGCACCAAGTAACACGAGCCGCTTTTTACATTTAACAGAGCGAATGCGGTATCCATCGGGAAAACAACTTTTTTACACCTGTTATTTCTTTTTATTAGAGGACTAATTAAAATTAGATCTTGCCTCACTGATCTCTATAGTACACTACAAAATGTTTGTGCCGATTTGATGCGCCCCTGTTGTTCGTACCGGGAACTAAACATGACATGTGCCAGTTTGTTGTGTTCTTTATTAAATCGTATCTGTATTTTGACTTTTAAATGGAAAAAATTAAAGTATTTTGTGTAATTATATAATAAGAATTATTTTTAGTAATATTTATTTTTAGTCAATTCCATTTTCTCAACGACTAAACAAGTTTGACAAAACCTTGTGACAAGACCGAGAATCTTTTTTTTTTAAATAAATAAATGGTATTCGATTTTTAAAACCAAGGAGTTTTCAATTAAAAAGATTTTAATATGACAGGAACAGTGGAAATATTCCATTCCCGATACTTTTAGTGCAGCCTAGTATACATGAAGTCTTTGATTAAAATAAACATCATTTAATGTATCCTCATGAGAATCTGTTTGTATGATCTATTGTTTTGTTAACAGTAATTTCCTGGGTCTGGTTACCTACTTGGACTGGGTAATGATCATGGTGACTACTCTGTCCTGTTTATCGATGATGTTTGAAACACCCACGTATAGAGTTATGGAGAACTTCGTACTTCAGGTAATTTATCTTCCATACGAACTCAATCTAGAAAAATGTTAATTATAAAACACTTTTTTATTCTGTGATTTCCTTTTTAGATCGCAGAATATGGCTTCGTTATATTTATGAGTCTTGAACTCGCGCTGAAAATATTAGCTGACGGCTTATTTTTTACACCCAAGGCGTATCTTAAAGATGCTGCTGCTGTATTGGATGTTTTTATTTACGTGGTAAGTTCGCTAAAAATAAATTAATTATTGACACAAGTTACCTACTGAAAAAAATGACTGATTTTCGTTTTTTAAAAAATATTAAAATATCCACAGTAAGAACGGCTTCGTCTTTTACTTGTTTTACTGGCTCACTAAGGCCAACATTTTAGTTAAAAATGTTCAATTACGATATAAATATACATATATAGTGTGTACTGTGAGGATAGTTGAACTATTAAATACGGTATTCCGTACGTCTCCTATTATCCGTATGGTATCGTAATATAATATGGGAGAATTTCTTGGGAGAAAAACCCAATGATTGATTTGGGGGCGACCCGGGATTCGAACCCAAAACCTTATGATCAGTAGTTCCGCTAATGACCACTAGACCAACGAGGCAGTCGTCGCAGGCAGTCAGATGTATTCCAAAATGGCAAAATACTGATAACAGTTTAAATAAAGTTATTAAGTAGCTTCACCCTAACTTATTGTAATTCAATTAAATATAACTGTATAAATGTAATATAACTTTTTCCATCAACGATTCTACGAATCATAAAAAATAATTAATGCTTAAACGACAACTTATATAAATTAAAGCGACAGTAGCCTAATGGCAGGGCGTGGACCGTGAAGTCAAAAAAGGTCGTAGGTTCGAATCCACCATTCGACTACTGGCGTGAATCACTCGTAACACAAGCAATTTAGCTTACCACGAGTGGTTAAGGGGAATATTAGTAATGCTTATAGCATTATTAATATTCTTTTAAAAAAATGTATTTGCCATAAACTAGAAAGAGGACAACTTGTATAAATGTATTTGCCATAAGCTAGAAAGAGGACAACTTATATAAATGTATTTGCCATAAGCTAGAAATAGTTATTGAGCCAGAAAACCGATTTGACTTTTTAAATACCTTCGAAATATTATTGATAAATTGATATATTTTACACATAGGAAGCACTTTGAAAACTAACTTCATAAGTATAGAACGTGCACAGAGAAGCGTTCTTAAATTAATGTTATATTAAAAAATCATATAGAACATCTAAATTATTTAAGTCAGCCAAATATAACTGTTAGAAAATTGTTTAATGTTTATATTATAATGTGTTTTCAAAATTCACTAAAACGTCTTTTAAGACCCTAATTTTTTTTAAATAAATTAAAGCAGAGTAAGAACTATGTTGCTGTAAAATAATTTTGTATACAATCAATTTAGGTACAAAACCCAATAAACAAATCTCTTAAAATCTATCATCTTAGCATATTAGTAAGCAATGTCAAACGATTTCTCTTACTAAAACCGTGTTTTTTTAGTAATAAAAATTATATCTACTATTTTGTCAGGTTATTTTAAGTGAATGAAGTAGGGTAAGTAGGATAAGTGAATGAAGGAATGATGAAGAGTTCTCAAACCTTATATCAAGCTGTGATAATTCATACCAAGTACAGCTAAATCGATTTTTAAATATATAGCCATTTAATATTTAAACTTGAAACCTTAGCCAAATTCATTGCAACAGCTGTTGCAGTGAAGATTAAATAAATTTAAAGTAAATTGTTACATAATTTTGAAGGATGGTTGTTATAATGATTTCTTAAATTTACGCGAACACTACACATTGAATAAAACTAAATTTACGGATTTTATCGCGTTTATTTCACTACTTTTACTTATTTTTAATTCCCGACGTTTCCCCCCATGACCATGCTGGGTCTGGCTGGGTGCTTTACAGCACCCGAAACGTCGGGAATTAAAAATAAATAAAAGTAGTGAAATAAACGCGATAAAATCCGTAAATTTAGTTTTATTCAGGATGGTTCTTGAATATTTTATGCCTTAGGTTTATTGTTTTATAAAAAATTATATACAGACATAATTATCAGAGAACATTTCTCGTCAGATAAATCCTGAGTTTGCTATGTTTTTTGATTAACATAATATGAAATAGTAATAAATAGTGAATGTACAATTTCCTTAGGCAAAAGTTATTCCATATTATAGAGTTGTATGTGTGCATCAAAACATAAAATCGGTGGAATGGTAGTGTTGTCGTGTGATGTTTAATTTAGACTGAGTTCGACGGTGAAAAGGCAAAAAATATCTACATAATAAAAAAAAACATTTCTATGATCAGGGATTATATACTTAACACTTCATGATTGGATAATTTCCGTCTGGGATTTTTTATTTTTTATTAGAGGACAAATTAAAATTAGATCTTGCCACTGATCTCTCTAGTACCCTACAAAATGTTTGTGCCGATTTGATGCGCCCCTGTTGTTCGTACCGGGAACTAAACATGACATAATACGCCAGTCTGTTGTGTTCTTTATTAAACGTATCTCTGTATTTTAACTTTTAAATAAATAAATGAAAGTATTTTGTTTAGTTGGAATGTTTCATTTTAGTTATATAATAAGAGTTATTTTTAGTAATAATGAGAGGAGTGTAAGTAATTTGTAAACTCGTTACCAAAAGGAAAGTGGGATAACAAGTAAGTGTATTTACAGCTAATATTTAAAAAAATAACTATTTAATATAGGTACTAAAATTTGTTACTAATCTTTATAGTGTAATTACCAACATGTTTGGCTTTTACTACTGAGTTCTGATAAACAGTAAAATTCAGTAGTGTTGTCTAGTTGCTTGTCTATAATACTTATCGATGTTCCTTTCTACCTATCTGTTAACAACCAAAATAGCCGACAACAGGTAATTATCAAATGTTACTGTTGTTATTGATTCACAGACTCTTATGGACCCCACACACGGTCAGTTAAAGTCATCAGTTGAACTGATATCAGTTCTAACGGATTTAAGCCAAAGAAATTTCCACCCCCAGTCAGTTCAAGTGATCATTCCAACTGATCAGTTCAAACTAGAACTGTGATATTTTTTAAAATATCGTATTTTTGATGTATCGATAATTATCAATATTGGAGTTTTATATATCATAAGTTAATATACATTAAGTCAATATCGGAGTTTTATGTATTAAAAAGTTTTAGTTTTTTGGTTTAGTTCGTTTCTTATATATAATAAGCAAATTAAATTATAAATGAATGAAAATGTTAAATTATCGTTCTAATTATTGTTTAATTCAAATAAGGCATGTGTACAAATATTTCTCAGTAAGAGTTTTTAAAAATACTCGTTGTTTTATATGTTCAGCTGTTTAATATGTTTAGAAGCACAGGTGCTACAGATGTAGCTGTAGAAATCAAATATTTAACAGCTATTTCTGATAGAACGGGAGTAAAGTTAGGAGTGAGGTTTATATTAACATCGAATCACTTGTTTCCTCGTTTTCTCTCTTAGTTAACATGCGCAGACACTCAATACAAAAAATCGCATCACTTTTACGCATCAAAATCCACTTTAAACAAATTATTTAAACAATAAAACAGAAGCAAAAGACCGTCGACGGTCAAGTTTCCGCCAAAACACACAGTAAAGTAGTTATAATTTAATATACTAAATTACATTTCTTTTTAATAATATAATAAGCAAATAAATAAACTGGGGAAAAATTAAAAGCATAAAATAAAGTACAGTAGATTGGGTAGTAGTAGATTTAATGATTTACGAGAAAAAGTAAAAAATTAAAACTTTTTATTGAATTAAATATCGACTGTCGATATTCATATTTCAACGCTTAGCCCACCGTGCGACCATCGTATTTCTGCGCCATCGAGCGAACGCGCTAATGCTGGTGATACACTAACGGGAAACGTCAATTCCTATAAACGCAGCAACTATGATTTAAATTTAACGCGATAAAGTGAGTGGCTACACTTGATCGCTCAACGTCATTAAATTTTAATGCCATTGAACGACGTTAAAGTTGGCGCTAAGCGTTTAATGTTCCTTGAAGACTTTTTATATTTGTTTGGATAATTCGTCGCAAAGTATCATTTTGCGATGTACGATTCTTAAAATTTTTATGTCTCGGATCCCACAAATATGGCTCTGTTTGCAGAATCTCAAGAAACGTAATAAGTTTTTTTTTTATTATTCCGCTCCATCATAGCCATACGTGCGACCCTGTTGCGATCATCGTGCACAGTAAGACAAACGTAGTGTGGGCACAGATAAATAAATAGTTTACCAACAGATACATCACTCCCATACAAAAGCGAAAATACCTACGCTATAATAGCGTACAAAATCTTAATTATAATATCTGCTGCTCGCAGCGAGAAGAAAATGTACCATAAGAACGCGCACGAAGAGTCGAGATTGTGTTGCCCGCCGTGCGACTCACGTGCAAGCACGTCATCGCACGAATGCGCTAGGGTTGTGCCTATGATGATTATTGTAATAAAACTAATGTTGCGAAATGCATACATACTAACAATATTTTTTATTTGTCAATCAAATATGTTTGAGTTTTATAAAATGATTTATACTTTTTTTCCTTCTCTGAATTCTCGGTTATTAAATTTTATCGTTGAAGTTTCTTAAAGCGCGTGAATAATTTTAATAAATAATTATGAGGAAAACAGGAGCAAAGCAGAGGAAAAACAATGGTTTGTAAAATCTGTAACACGGTGCTGCCAGACCGATTCATTATGACGTCAAAATTATTTGAGAATGATCTTTCAAATTCTTCAATGTAATTATTAAACGGTTCTGGTGGGAATTTTAGCCCACCATAAAAAGATGAATCTTTATTATAAGTACACAGTGTTGTTTCGTGAACATTAGGGTTCTCTTGTAACAAAGCATTGAAGGTAGTTCAGTTATGTTTTTTGCATCACTGATATACATAATAACCACTTTAATACATGACTCAACGCAAAAAAGACAATTTTATTTGTTTTTTACTTTTACACCCATACACATATCTATAGCGAGCCTCAAAAATTGAAAGTGACATTTAGGTTTTTAAATTTATCTAAGGCAAAGGCATTTATTTGTTTCAGCCTAGTAGCTAGTGGCTGTAAATAATCCTCCCAGAACTTTGAAAATTTATCTTTATTGGTTTAAATTTATGTACGTGTTCAC